TGTAATTACCGTTAATCCATTCCGGCGTCCGCGGACCACGCGTCAGGGGCGGAAAAACGGCGCGGACTATGCGTCAGGGGCAGAAAAACGGCCACGGACCACGCAGCAGGGGCAGAAAAACGGCCGCGGACCACGTGTCACAGCAGAAAATGGCCGCGGATCCGGTTTGTAACCTGAGGTAAATTTTCGTGGCCGGAGCTGGTCGCAACCCGAAAAGTTCGTTAGCAGAGGCGTTCGTAACCCGAGGTACCACTATTTTCGTGGCCGGAGCTGGTCGCAACCCGAAAAGTTCGTTAGCAGAGGCGTTCGTAACCCGAGGTACCACTATTTTCGTGGCCGGAGCTGGTCGCAACCCGAAAAGTTCGTTAGCAGAGGCGTTCGTAACCCGAGGTACCACTGTACACCTTGGCAAGGCACTTCCTACAAGGGCAGGCACATAAATGTCATTTGAAGGAAAACATTAGTAACAGCACCCTGACCCCCAGGCCACTTGACTCCAGCAATAGCTGCATCTGTTAGACTGAGCAACACAGCAACTGCAACCTGGGTCAACAGGCACGCACACCTCCAGTATGTGAAAAGTTAGTTCATGCGACACAACTGTAGCCATTGGAAAGAAAGTTGTAGCTTCTAGATCCATGTTTTTCCAAACTTGGCAACTGTATGGACTTCAACTCCCAGAATTCCCCAGCCAGCGTGAAGTCCACACATCTTAAAGTTGCCAAGTTTGAAAAACACCACTCTAGATGATGGTAATTCAATAGAATCCAATTTTGCAGTCCCCAAAGTGCAAAGATAAGTTCCAATCTCAGATAAGTCCCAATCTCACAGCGTTTGTACTCTGCACATGTAGAAGGAGACACTCAGTGAAATCCTGGTGCAGAGCTCAAAGGATTCAAGGGGTATGAGGCTTGCAAAGCAAGCAACAAGTCTCAGGCAGCTTTAAAGCACTGCCTGTCAAAGTCCTGTAAAAATCTTGTGGGTTCAGTTCCCATCTTTGTTCTTCAGAAGCACTCCCTATTCCCCCCCCCCCCTTTATCCTGGCCTTGCAACTAGCAGGCAGGAGGCAGCCATGATGCAGGCAAACTTTGCAGAGGCCTGGAGGGCTTGAGCTTGGCTGAAACTGGCAGGGAAGGTTGCAAATGGTGATCACGTGACTGCTGGGACACTGCAGCTGTCGTAAGTGCGAGCTGGTTGCCAAGCATCTGAATTGCAATCATGTGACTGCGGGGTGCTACGATGGCTGGAACTTCGAGGGCCAGTTGTAAGTACCACTTGTTCAGCATGGTCACAACTTCAACCATTTGCTGAATGAGTGGTCAGTTTTAGAGAATTAGTTTCATTCAATTCAACAACAATAGCATGCTTTACCCACTGTTTTCCTAATATATTCAGTAATAAAGGACAAGAAAAGAAGAGAGAGAATCCCAGGTTAGACACACATTCTTTCACCCAAGTCCCATCAAACAGAGCCCACTGTTCCCCTCAATTCCTCCAGTCCACTGTAGCCCCTCAATTCCTCCCTTGCAGCTAGGAAACCAGACAGACAGCCCTGATCAGCAGAGGGGAGATTTATACAAACTTACGCAAACACATTCGTGCAGCCCAGGCAGGGCAAAAGAACCATCACAAAATCAAATCAGGGGAGATACAAACACACAGATAGAGCTTTTCATGTACATACACATAGACTTTCACAAGGAATCAACATTCCTCCCCCTTTTCTCTTGAGGATGCCCGAGAAGACACTCAATATGGCATGGAAATAACACACACATGCTTCAAACAAGTCAGAGTAAATGCAGACAACACACCTCCTAACTTTCTTCTATTATGCACTCAACTTACACAAATCTCATCTGCACAAAATACACACAAAACTTACACAAATACAGGGAGTAAGACACCAGAATGGCTGGATTGTAATAGTATGTGGAAATGGCCTTGGGAGACAGGAGGAAGAGCTGCAGCCTAGACAATGGACTGATAAATGAAATTTGAGTCTGGAAGAGGAGGGATGGTGAAAATGCCTCAGAAGAAACCCTCCCTAGTTTTCGGGACAGTAAAAGTGAGGGACGGGAGGGGTACTTTCAGACTTGCAAGATTCTGTTAACGTAACCTTACAATAAGACAGAGCTCATACTCCTGGTTGCACTTCTTGTCTGGATCACCTCACAAGGCTAACATGGATACAGGGCACGGCCAGAGCCCATTTCCAGTCTTTGGATTAAATAACAGAAAAGGAGCATACCTGAAAGGTTGGAAGGCACACACAATGTGGAATTCCAAGAATTTGAAGCATTCCTGTTTACTGCAGATTCAGATTCAGTGTTCACAGGGACAGACCCATGTTGTACATGCACAAAGACCATATAGCCAAGAATAAGGTGAAGCAACCTGCGCATCACCCATTTCCCAAAGCAAATACAAACACAAATATACACAAACAAAAGCTTACAAACAGAAAATATTGGTTACGTATACTCATGTAGACAGTCGTCAGAATCCAAAACATACGTCAAACTGCCTGTCACTCACACCCATTCGCTGAATCAGCTGCCCAAAATTCAAACACAGCAGTGCAGTTTCCTTTATCCCTGGATCCATTCTGCACCTGCCCTGGGCTTGCACTTACTTGCACAGCCACTCACGGTGCTTTCACCTGGAACCTGCACCTCACAAGGTTCTTCCAAAAGATATTGCCTGGCCAAATTAAAATTCCCCAAAGTGTATCTTCAAACAGATAGTGGCAGGAGTGCGCTGCAAGCCATGAACTGCCTCCCCTCTCATCCTGTCAATCTGAGTCATGGCACAAACTGGGGTGGCCAAAACCCGACTCACCTAAAACGACCAAACCACTTAGAAGATACAGTCTAAATTTATTAACATGCAAATGATGAAATAGTGTACACTGGGCTCCCAGCAAAGCATCAGCAGCTTGTTCGACAGCCCCGAGCAAAAGCAGAACCAGAGCTTATATAGTTTTGGCCTAGATTTTGTGATCTCTTACAATAGTATATTGTATTGTTCATATTATAGTAGTGAATTCATTGGTAAACCAAGTGACTATTGATAAGTATAAAATTTAAGTATGTATCTTTAGTTTGTATTTTTTCCCCCTAAGATTAAAGATGTTTTGTTTAAATAAACAAACCAACCAACCCTTGGCCTGCTGCAATGCAAAGGCAAAACAAAGAAAAAGGCAGACATGGTGTAAATTACAGCAAGATGTTGGACTGTTTTAGATAAACCCATCTAGGTGACCCTCTTATTATTTATCCCTTCCTACTAAATCAGCATGCTAGCTATACTATTTCTGAGATATGGTCAGTTGGTCAATGAATAGAAGCAATTTGGTTTACTGGGCCACAGGTTCCTGACTGATTCTTCTCGCTGTTGCCACTCAGGTCAATTCAGCTTGCTGTGTTTTCTTACAAGGGCACTTTAAGCAGTGTGTGTGTGTGTGTGTGAGAAAGAGAGAGAGACATCTCACAGGTTTGGTAGTGAATGGAACTTACATATGTATTGGGGGGCGGTACCTTTTACCACCACACACAATATAAAAAATTTAACTGTTTTTATTCACCAGTCTTCCCGAGATGAAACAAGTCTTACTGCTGTTGTCACTTATGCCAGAACCAGAGAATACTATGGTTTTATTACTATTAACTCTTGTAATATTTGTTCATATGAATAGGCATAAGAAATATTAATAAAATCAGAGTGTGCCAACAATCCAAAATCATAGGAACCCTTCACTTAAGAACATTTTTGAAAGAAAAAACAATAATTTGTGTATCCACCAGCTGTGAATAACTGTATTTCACTTATTAGAAAGCCAATTATGCCTCTGTATTTATTTAACAATGGATGCTTTTCGAGCATTCCAGAAGGGGGCTTCCATTCAAAGGCGTCAGACTGGGATTCGGGTAATGAGTTCCTCTAGTGGTTTCTAAGTGATAAAAACCTTTAATTAAGCTCACCCATTCTTTAGCTTCCCATCATTGCAAATTGTAACTCCCTCAATAATAAGAGTTTTGGAAAATCTGAAGGCCATCTCAATAAGCAGAAACTTAAAATATAAATAAAAACACATATTCCTTAAAATTGAGCTAGTTCTTAGAACTGAGAGAGGAATTCTTTGGGGATTGCAACAGTCCACTTGTGAATTGGATGCTTGTCCTTGGCTGCCCTCCATATGTATATTTATTATTATTCTTTTATTCAGTGTTCACTTGGTTAGCCACCCAGAGTAACTTATGTGAGATGGGTGGCCATATAAAATAATCTAGGGCTGTATCTATTGGGGGAGGGATTATTTTGTAATGAACTCCAGTTCTATTAATCAAAAGCACTGCAACATCTCAAAAGATCATTGAAGTGGCCTGCAGTTCACAAACACCTGGGGCATAAGAAATTACTGCTATATTACTTTATAGTCTTTTTGCACAACAGACTAACAAGCCTATTCCTAAAACACTTTTAATCACAGTCATCAATATGAACAAAGCTAGAGTAATGGAGAAAAAAACAAGGTCATCTAGAATCTAAAAGAATTCTGAATAGCAAGCACAGAAATAAGGTATTTTATACAGAAGGATTTTGACATTTTAGAATTTTATTTGTCTTTTGAGTCTTTCAAATCAAACTCAGAGGCTTTGTCATAGCCCATAAGATGGTTGTAGTCTTGAGGATAATGAAAAAGGAATGGGTTAACAAGCATTGCTTTTCTGTGAACATAAAATGTTGTGAACATTTTGCTGATGTCTGGAACAGTTACATCCTTTTGATGGAATACAGTTTCCCTTTCTTTCAAAATACCACTGTATGTAATTGCTGTGTATGTCTCTATTTTAGCTTTATGGTACAGCCGGATGACATATCTCTTGGTAATTAAATGGAAGAGAAGTGGCATCAGGAAAATAAAGAGTAGTGTGACACTGTAAAGAGCAATTTCCAAGTGGAGTTTGTCAACATTTAAGCCAAACTTGAATATGATACCAAGCAACACGGAAGTAGCAAGTATACAGGTGATAACACAGAAAATTCTCACTTCTGCAAGAAAAAGAAAAAAAAACAGGTTCAAATTGGCTCCCAACCACATACAATAGCATGCAATCATGCTTAAAAGCTTGTGAACCCTTTTGAATTTTCAATAACTCTGCATAAATATGACTCAATAAAGAGTACCCAGTTAAACAAATGAGTCTAAAACATTATACTAAGGTCGTCTTATGCAAGGAAGTAAGCCAAGGAGAGAACCATGCGGTTGCAAAACTGCCCATACTTTGTCTTTGCAAACAGGCTTCCTCCAATCACGAGCCTTATGTAACTGACGTCAGCTGATGCCGAACAAACCAATTGGAACACATCCTATTGGAGGTGGAGAGCGTGTAGGCAGTGCGCAGATGCGACAGGGACCGGTAATGTCACAGCATTCTGAGCCCATAAAGATGTTGGAAAATAAAAAAATAAATAAGCGAATA